GGGGGGCGCTGTGGTGGACCCGACTCTAGTTTTTTCCCTTTGTTTGTGTGTGTGTTTGCACCAAATTTCTTTGTTGCTGGCTGTTGAAATTTAAAATTTGTTGATGGGGTGGCTGTGCAGGACTGACCGCCGTCATTTCTCGCCGGACGTCCGAGAGTCTTACTTCTCTACAGTATAAGATTCTACTCAGTTGATCATACAGGCCAGATGACAACTGGTGTTGTTACTGTGGTTGCACATTTTCATTTTAGGTTTTCTAGGTAAATCAAGGAGACTGTTGGTGTTTATTACCCTCCATTAAGTTATCTTAGTTTTGCAGTCTGTGCTTTTGCGTGGGTTTTCTTTCATGGATTTACAGTGCAGCTGAGGCTTCTACACGACCCGTGTTTAGTGCATTTTGAAATCAGTAGGGAATACACTTCGTCTAGATCTAGACTTTAGTTACTTAAAAAAAAAAAAACAGGTTAAATGGTTAAACAGGCCTAGTCAAGTTTTTGTGACATTTAGTTTCATTCATGTACTTATTATAAAGCTAATTTGAAATCAGTAGGTAATACACTTCGTCTAGATCTAGTTACTTTAAAAAAAAAAGGTTAAATGGATGTAGGTATACCATGGCGTCCATGGATGTATAGGCCTAGATCTAATCAAGTTTTTGTGTCATTTAGTTTCGTTTATGTATTTATTATAAAGCTAATTTGATAATAAAGAAACTATTTTAACGAAGCGGATAATCAGTGTTTTAGATTTTAGCGAAATTCTTCCCTAATCGATGTTTCGTAGATTTTTATGTCCACGTTGTCCGTTCCTCTTTACGACTCGTTGTCTCGTGGATTTCCATCTAACTAAAGTTAGTTTCATTGTATTATAATGGAAGCCAACTTGTTTATAAAGTTACTTGAGTAGGTTATATCCGAGTTGTTCTGAAAAATAAATCGTTGTAGATCTAGATCTAGAATCTAGTAGATTTAGGCCAAATTGTTTACCTAAAGATCAGTTTCATGAATTTATGTCCAGGTTATTCGTAAAATTTCGTCGCGATTCCTTGTCACGTGGGTGACTTAAATGGACCACAGTGTGGAAAATAATATCGTCGTGAAGTTGGTTGATGCCATGCACTCGTGACCGAGTTACCAGGCAGTGGACGTGTTTCGTGTTTTGACAGTTGCCCCTTGTAGTGGAGCGTGTGTTGTTTTTGTGTGTTTAAAGACAGCAAGAGTGACGGTTTAACTACACACTTCCGGACTGTGCCGCGCCGTTGGCGTGTTGTTGTTTTTTTTTGGTGGTTTGTTTTGTGTTTATTTCCGCGATGTCGTGGACCCCGTGTGTCCCCCCTCGTGGCAGAGGCCGTGCCGTCAACAGGCGTGGTGGTGATGGACAGCATCAGGCCCGAGGGGGGTCCCGCGGCCCCGGACAGTCAAGGGCTCCGCAACGTCCACCCAGAGGGGGCCCCAGGGGCCGTGGTGTTTACCCACAACAGCAGAGATGTGCTCAGAATGGTGAATGTCATGATGGAGATGCCCCGAATGGTGCTTGTTCTTCAACTCCTGTAGGAGGGCTTCTTAATGGCGCTTGTTGTACGAATGGTCCAGTTGGAGGGGTCCCAAACGGTGCGTGCCCCCCAATGTGTCCAGCTGGAGCGGTCTCTAACCGCGATATTCCAGTTGTTACAGTCCCTAACGGTGCATGTCCACCCCCCTGCCTCGCTGGAGGAGTCCCCAATGGACATTGTTTGAGTTCCTCACTGCCCCCTTGTGAGACCCCACCTACTACACTGCCCCCTAGTGTGGCCCCACCTACTACACTGCCCCCTAGTGTGGCCCTGCCTCCTGCATTACCCCGTGGTGTGGCTACGCCCTCTGAACTGCCCCCTAATGGCGACGCATGCGCTAACCCACCGGTCCATACAGGACCTGCACCAAAGACAAATGGACGTTCAAAAAAGAAATGGCGCGCTCCCAAGCCCAAAATGACAAAAAATAAAGGATGCACTGCCAGCCTCCCACCGCGACCCCCTGGGCAGTCCCTTTCTGCACCCCCCACAGCTCCCCAAGGACGGGGGCGGGGTATGGTGGGAATGTATCCTGCAAGAAGTCTGGTCAGTAGTAGTCATTATATAATGTTTTATTGTATTGATATTCTGTTTGTTCTGCTCTTCTGTCTTCTGGGTTACAGGCAGCTAAATGCCATGAAGCGTTTATAACTTCTTCTTCTTACACGTAACACTCGTTGGTGGTTGGCGAGTGCTCTGATGTGTTTTGCTTTTTCTTTTCTATCGTCTTTCCTCTTAATCTTCCCTCCTTCTTTTTTGTGTTTGTTACTCTCTTGTAACACCTCTAATCTTTGGCACCTATATGACCTTATTGTGTTGCAAGTTCCGTAAAACGCTTACTAAAACAACACACATTTTGCGGCATTAGGTTTAACCTTGCTCTGAGATTTTGGGTCGCTGATTTCAGGAATGGCATTGGGTTTTGCGCATCATGTAATGTTTTTGTTCTTTGAAAGAACAACTTATTTTTACGAAGTGACTATTTCTCCGAACGTTCAGAGAAATAGTGCCGATCTTTATTTCTCCAAACGGTTTCCGGCTTCCGGTCTCGTGATTTTTTTAGTTTAAGAGCAGCAGCCTTCATAGGCAACACGTCATATCTGTAGCGAAAAACTGTTTGGAACTGTAGCATTTCTCTATATAAATATTTACTGCGGACATTTTTTGGACCGATTGAACCATATTGTATACGAACAATCTTTGGAATCTATATAAAATCCGAAATTTGCGGGAAAGGATGTGATTTCAGAGTGTTCGGAGAAATAGTGCCCAGCTTTATTTTCCCGAACGTTCGGAGAAATAGTGCCGGCCTTATTTTTATGTCATTACGTCAAAAGTCAGGATTTGTCACTACAACATAGGCTGTAGTTTGATTTAAAACCTAGCTTTAAGGAATCACAATAACATCTAAAACTATTGAATATGTTACTTTTCATGCATGATAAGTAATTAGATTTAAGGAATCACAATAACATCTAAAACTATTGAATATGTTACTTTTCATGCATGATAAGTAATTAGATTTAAGGAATCACAATAACATCTAAAACTATTGAATATGTCATTTTTCATGCATGATAAGTAATTAGATTTATCATCAGACATTCCAATGATTTTTTTTTTTACTAAGGTGTGTTTTTACATGTGTGCATGATTTAGTTTTACTTTCATTCATATTTGTGGCCTTTTTCTTTGCGTTCAATGAGATTGATTTGATGTGACAGAAAGAAAGCTAGAAGTGACATTTTTTCCCCTTAGCATAATTAGCACTCTCTAATTTGAATGTGCTCAATATTTCCAGACCTAGCATAAAATTGTACAGGCGTACTACATCTAGATCTACTTAGGCTAGATCTGCCAGTGTTTGTGTCTAATTCTCCCCTCAGGTTTAGAGGTCGGCCTTCAACCTGTATTTCATCAATAAAACACCTAGAATCTAGATCTAGATAGGGAAGATGAGAAGTGACCCGACCCGGGTGGGAATATTCACTTCCTATTTTTTTAAAATATTATAAATGTAGGAAAGATGATAAATGTAGGAAAGCCATAAATGTAATAAAACACTCCTGTATCTTGTCAGGTGGCCTGCAATATAGCCCAATCACAATCCATTTTGACCTTCAATGTCTATCATTTCAAGAAAATGTCCCATGAATAATACAAAGCATTTGTTTGCCGGACTAGACCGCTTCTGGTCGTAAATACAGACTTTTGTTGAGGATGAAAATCGAGTTTGACACAAATCTAGATCCACTTCAAATCCCAATTGTTTTAATCAGTTAGAATTTAATGGTTTGATAAGTTGTTTAGGTCTGTCTTTGGAAATGTCTTAGGAAATCAGATCTTTTGGTGTCAAGACTAAAGAAAAAACCCAACTCCCAACAAAATAAAACAAAAATTTTAAAAAGGAAAATTTAAATGATGCAAAGAACATTTTTAACTCACTGGCATTAGGGAAAAGGAACTAATACATGCAAGGGTTTTGCTCTCTGCCACGACTTACCAGGTTTGCCACGTGTATTGGGTGTGTCTAATTACGACCCGAATGAGTAGGGACTTTTCTTAAATCGTCAATGAGAAGTCTTACGTGTGTGCTATTCCATAATGGAAATTTAATTGGTTTCTTAAAGAAGTATACATAGAGACTTGGGTGTGTGTGGTGGTGTGAAAATGGCCAACCTCATTCTTGTTCAGTAAGGTGACTCTAGAAAGTTTCCATGTTTCCTTTTTAGGATGATCTGGCAAAGGAAAAACGCAACGCTGGAAACCAAAGATTTGGCCAGTGAGGACAGCTCCCGACAGTTGTACTGTTGTAGACAATAATGTTTTTAATGAGCCACGTGTGTTGGGGGGGGGGGGGGGGGGGATGATGGTTTTCCCCGTCCTTAATATCAGGTCAGCTTGGTGAAACTGTTTATGAAAGTCCTATATTCAAGAGGGGGGGGGGGGGGGGGCTGTGTCAAGTACATATGCGCCACTTTTCTTAATTCCAGTCACGAGAAAATAAGGGTTGGTATTTTCCATGGCTTCCAAATCAGAAACCTGATTGATGAGACATGTGTACATTTCATGGACTCCAGTAAATGTCTAAATGAAAGGAGCTTAGAGATCGTTTTATGTCTGTGGTATGAATCTTTTCGGGCAACGCAATATCCGAAAATTATAATACCATGGTCAAAACTTTGTAAGAGAAACCCCATCTGTATGACTTTATGGCCGCAATATGAGCATCAAGATTCATTTTTTTCTGATAAGTCGTTAAAGATGAATTTTCTCAAACTGTGATGATGTCAGTAATGAACATGTTGTCTCCAACTTAGGTACATGAACTACTTTTTAATGTACCCATTGTCATTGTGAAATTGATGATTTATACGAGTAACAAACAGCATCGATTTCTCACCTTTTTTTTCACTCTGAAAAAGATTGCTATTTGGTATCACTGGGGCTAATGCGATTGCGTACCTCAAAAACGTTGGTCTTGCCATGGAGCAAAAATTGACATAATAGAGCAAGACTGATATCATTTTTGACTCAATGGCCTCACCCCTCGGGGCAGTGCCACTGACTGTAGTGTCTTTATGCCATTCCCAAAGGGGGGGGGGGCATTTCTCGTTCAAGCACCGTAGAATTGACTGGCTCTGAGTAAACATGCAATCCGGTTAAGTTGATGAGCTGCACTTTTTTTAAAATAGTTGATTTGATTCATCACTACAGAGCTTGGTTTACACCGTGGGTGGTCGGCGGATGCTCTTTTGTTGTTCGCTCATTCTTTAAAAATCTATTCTCCTTGTCTCTCATTCTTATTTTTCTGTTACTCTCTAGTACCATTCCAAATGTTCAGCATTGATATGACCTATTTCTGTTGCAGGTTCTGTAAAATTCTTACTGAAACTCAAACTGAACTTGTCTTTCACTGTGTCAGAGTTAAGACAAACTTCTAAAGACTGCTGATCGAGATGTTTATTGCCTCTTCCTTTGATCACGCTGGTCCGTTTCCTGTTGTGTCATTAACAGATGTGGGCGGTTGGCGGGTGCTCTGGTGTGGTTTGCTCCTTCTTTCCTATTAAACATTTATCATCCTTGTCTCTACTTTGTGTATTTGTTTCTCCCTTGTAACGCCTAGTCTTCGGCACTCATATGACCTAATTGTTTTGCGAGTGCCGTAAAACCCTAGAACTAGAACAAAATAATCAACTGGTTGGAAGGGGCGGCGTTAAACCCACTACTTTTTTTAATGACTCTGCTGTAGGTAACTTACAACTCATTGTCATTGTGCGGGTGGTCGGAGGACGCCACTGGTATGTCCTACTTCTTTACTTTTCCTCTGTTGTGTCTGTCCTGTCGGTCTTACTTTTTCCCCTTCACTTCATGACAATTTTGGTGTCAATTTGCTTCTCTCTAAACAAACACATAGCTCATTGCTGTTATTATTGTAGGGATAGTATTTTGGTTGGGAACACAGAGCACCGCTCATGTGGTGTCAGCGAACGAATGTCAGCACGTCACGAAAATCGTAAAATCTCAATTACTTATTGCCCTGGAGACTTGCCGCTGGCTCAGTGATAGCTTATCCAAATTTGTAGGCAATAGGCTGGCCTTTTATGTCCATTTAAAAACACATTTATCGTCTGTTTATTTTTACTGAAAAACGAAGATGAAAGCACAGAAAATTTAAATTTGCAGTTACCAAGGACTTTCCAACTTTGGAAAGTCACAGTACTTTACTTTGGCGACCAGTTAAGGTGACAATCCATATGTGCGGCACGGCAGCGGCACGGCAGCCGGACGATAAAAATCGCTCCAATAGAAATATCAATGTCTGAATCCATAAGTGCGGGACGGCAGCGGGACGATAACAATCGCACCCAGGAGCGATTCTGCCGCTGCCGCAGCTCTGCCGCAGACAAAAATATGTGGCGGAATAGGGTTGACTGAGAAGAATCTCTGTGTGATGCAGTCAATTAATTTGACACGGAAAACTTTCTGAAACCATTGCACCCCTATGTCGTCGTTCATCCACTCATTTTCTTGATATGCCCAAATGGTGCCTTCTGGGCTGTCCTGAATGGCAAAGGAATGGATGGACCTGTTTGTTATGCTAGTGACAAAAGATCAAGATAATTGCAACTTTACAATACTGGCGAAGTTACCCGTCGGTCGTGGCGAATTTACCCGACAATTAGTAACCTTAGTAAAATATTATGTATTTATTTAATTAAATTGATTGAAATAACAATTACATACCTCTACATAGAGATAATAAAGCAGTTAAATTAATGGAATCAATGCAAGAACATAGTAAATATGGATGATAATTAAGTCAATAAGAATGATAATAATGATAAGAATAATAAGATGATAAGTCCATAATAATTAAATACAGAGATGTGTAGGCTTTATGAAGAAGATTCATAGAAAGAGGCGCACATTTCGTCCCGCTACCGTTCCGCTGCCGCGCATATGGATTTAATGCGACTTGCGGTACCGCACATATCCCGTTGCCGTGCCGCTGCCGTCCCGCACATATGGATTGTCACCTTTACTCATTCAATTTGTCCTTGAGACTAGGCGACCCTCCCGTCTTTCACTAACAAATACATGTACCTCGACATCTGTTCAAGATAGATTGTTTTTTTGGGTTTTTTTCTCCATTAAATGCAAGGCAAATGAACGATTTTTAAAATATGCTACCTATATCTCCATGTGGCAAACAATTGACCAACACCTAATTCCATGTGTTGCGACACTAATATATTGATGTTCGAGAGTCTAGGAATTGAAAGACATGTTATTTTCAAGATGGCCACCATCACCGTGGCAACAAGTGAAATGTATGTCACGAATTTATACACTCCTGATCATTTGGCGCCTTAGCATTGAATGCTACTGTAGAACTAAATTCATTTATATTGGTCTGATTTTTTTTTTAAAGCTCA